TATCAAGTATGTCCGGTTTTTTTTTGAGAGAAGATGGCCAGTACGTAGGAGCAGGAGGTGCAAGTACTTTGTATTTTTTTAAGTTTATAAAATTGTGAAGCGTAGTGCCTCGAGGATTGCTTGTGCGACAGCCCCACGATTGGTGTTTAGCATTAAAATCACCTCCGACTATGAAATTATTTTTAACTGTGTTGAAAAATTCTGTAAACCTAGCGGTTGTTATATTATGTTTGGGAGGGGAGTAAATTACCGCAATAGTAAAGTAAGTAAAGTTTAATTTAATTTGAATTGAGCAAGATTGACAGAAGTCTTGGGAAAAACCAGGCAAAGGATGGTAAGTAATAAATGATTTAACATATATAGCCACGCCTCCGTGTGCCGTATTATCAGGATGATTTGTATTAATCAATTTATAACCTGGGATATATATTTTAGAATTATTAGTGAAGTGTGTCTCAGAGATGAGGGCAATGTCAATTCGTTTGTTGTTTAATACTGTTTCGAGTTCATGAGCATGATTTCTTAGGCCATTTGCGTTGAATAGTAATATAAGTAGGGAGTTGTCAGTGACAGAGTTGTTGTTATAATTGTTATTTAGCATTTTTATCAAGTAGGCAGGAAATTACTTTAGTGAGAAGGGAAATTAAAGGATTGATGAGAGACTTAAAGTCGTCTATGAAACTTGACATTATCTTATTAATATCAGGAGGGGGAGGAATTGTGTTATCGGGCGGAGCGTTGGACGTAACGTGTGTGTAAGTCTGTGTTTGAGAGATGGGTTGACTAGGAATTGAGTGGTTAATTGGGTGGCTAGCTTGTACATTGGTAAATTTAGTTTTAGAGTTTTCATACATAAAATTACTTGAAGATGGTTTTTTCCGACGTTGAAGGTCTTTGTAGATAGTACACCCTTTGTAGTTAGCAGGGTGGTTTTGAGAGCAGAGTGCACATTTTGTAGGCGATTCACGTGAGTTGGGGCATAGGGATGAGAGGTGATCCAAGCCGCAGCGGACACAGCGTGGTTGATAGCCACAATATGCTTTTGTATGGCCGTATTGTTGACAATTATGACATTGACTTATTGATTTTGGTTTGAAAGGTTCTTCAATTTTGATTTTAGTGTGTAGAAGAGAAGACAGATGAAAAATTTCGGAAGAATTGGACGTGGGTTCTAAGTCAACAAAAAATAGCGGGAGAGGGTTTTTGTTAACCTTATAGAGGACGTTAATTACTTGTCTGACTTCGAAAGTAAGGAGTTCTAACTCTTCTTTTATAGTTTCAGTTGGTGTGGAAGGATATAAGTTCCGTACGACTATCCTCAAAGGTTTATCCTTTTTGAGTTGATAAGTATGAAATTGTGCTTTCTCCTCTTTAAGATAACGAACTAGAGTTCTATATGAATCAGGGTTTGGAGTTTGGATTTTTAATTTGTCGGCAGATGCTTTACAGACAAAGTTATCTACTCCGATAATTTCGATAAGCTTTTTGCAAAGTTCAGGAAAATCCGCGACGCCTTTCACAAAAACTGGAGGCGGTGGTTTGTTTGGTGCGATTTCATCAATGACAATTTGTTCGGTAATTGGGGTGGTTGGGTTTGAGGGCGGAGTTACATCGTGATTTTCATTTTGACTCAGAACTAGATAACGATTTGGAGTTACAAAAATTTTTTTTTTACCTTTTTGATCTGTCTGCTTGTTCGTTGATGGGGATGGCAGATTGGAGGCAGAAGAGCTGGAGTGGTTTCTTTTGTTGTTGATGGAGTTTTTGACGGACCAACCTTGATCAGGTGTGACATCGTTTTTATTTCTCGCAATTGTAATCGGAGAGATTGTGTTGTTTTTGTTGTTTTTGTTATTTTGATTATTATTGGTCATTATTCATGGTCAATTATTGATATTAATATTAGAAATTAAATTAAGGACGAGTGAGAGTATTATACTCATAGGCTGGCGATAGCGTTTGCAGGTAATTAGGCTTATCTCAACGGCCGCGGCGGCCGCAGATAGGAAAAACGTATGCAGTAACGTGCAACTTTGACCGAAACAACTGAAATGTAAATTTCGTTTGTTGAGTATTCACTTACATTTAGTTAACTTGAACGAAATAAACAGATTTTAATTTATTTATTTTTTTTCGTTAAGAAAAAGAGTTGAAAGTTACGTACGTTCTCACATAACTATACTGGTGTGGTGATAGAAAAACAATATAGTTATAATTAAAATTAATTAACGAGCTAATAAATTTACGAGAGCGCATGGAACGCGTGCGAAGCGGACGACTGCTATCGCGAGAATGATGAACCTAACTTTAAGTTGTATATTTGATTAGAATTTATCATAAATTATAAATTACAATAAAATTTAGAAAAAGTAATGTAATTAAACATTTGATAAGCAATAAAATAAAATCTTGAGAAACCTAAGTATTTAAAAAAAAATGTTTGTATATATATTTTATGGTCTACTTAAAGGTAAATTTAATTTCAATCATTATTATGCTAGTGTCAAAATAATATAACATAATAAACCCTGATAGCTAATTGATATTATTTGATGCCCCCCCCCGTAAATCTATTCTGGATCCGCGCCTGGCATTTATCGACATCTCTCAGGCGTTTGATAGGGTTTGACACGACGGCCTCCTCTATAAATTAAAAAAAATTTCTTCATTCCACTTACTTTCTCGTTATTAAATCATATCTCTCCGATCGTAATTTCCAAGTACGTGTTGGTAATGCCTTTTCTTCAATAGCCAATATATCTGCGGGTGTCCTCCAAGGTGGTATTCTTTCTCCCATCCTGTACAATATATATGCCTCTGACCAACCAACCTATCCTAACACAATGGTTGCAGATTACGCGGACAATAAAGCCATACTCTCTATTCACTCTGAACCTTTCTTAGCAATTTAAAATAACCTATCTCACCTCACCCTTATGGAATATTGGTACACCAAATGGAGATTTAAAATTATCAATCCAAATCCATCCACACGACGTTAACCCTCAGACATGCCTCTAGCGATGATGTTTTCATTTATGGAACCCAAATTCCATGTGCTCAGAATACTAAATATCTTGGTTTAATCCTTGATAAAAGGCTGAACTGGGCCCAGCATATCAAATCAAAAAGAGTAAACTTAAACCAACGATTACGTCTCTTAAAAAATCTCATTTATAATAACAAATTTACACACACTAGAACTAAACTACTTATTTATAAATCCTTACTCAAACCCATGTGGACATATGGACTACAACTATGGGGAAACGCAAAAAAGTCTAATCTCAATAAAATTCAAACTTTCCAAAATATGGCGCTTCGGAAATCATTAAATGCTCTTCCCTACGTATCTAATCATACTATTCATTCAGATCTAAAAATGCCGCTAGTGCACGATGAAGCTAAAATATATTATAAACGTTTCCACCTTCGCATATTATCCCACCCCAATCTGTTTGCTAGAAATCTCTCTACCCCAACAATCCCCAGTAATCCTCCAAGGTTAAAACGTAAACGGTGCCGTGATATGCTTGTTTAATTCGATTGTTATATAAAACACGTTCTAAATAAATATAAATAAGAAAACAAAAAAAAAAATAATTATAATAAAATATACATAATATATAGACTACCAAATGATAATGTCACTAATGGGTGGCTGCTTTCTTCAAACGTAATATATTCCTTCTATGTATAATTTATTGTCAACTGTTTATTTAATATATAATTATTTATTTATTTGTTTCAATACTTTATATATCTATTATTGTATCATATTTACTTATTGTGCAGTTAAGTACAGATTGTAAATTTCTTATAAAAAAAAAAAAAGAAAAAAAGTAATTAACATTATTTTATAATGAACTAAATAGAATAACTGTTGATTTAACAACAATAATCTGAACAAAGTGAATAGATATTGTCTATTATAATAGTATATAGATATAATATTGTTTTTAACATGTTATTTCTGTAAACCATTTTTGTTATGGTAATCCTGTATGAAGTCTCATGAAATAATTTGATTGTATACTTAATAGATGGAACTTAAGAATATATTCATTCCGGTAAAAATTAAATTTGTTTTAACCTAATGTATGTTATAAGACTCCAACATCTAAGCAAAGTTAACTCAAGCTATTGTTATTTAATCAAAGGGTTGAAATTGAAATATTTGGACTGGTCTATCACTTTTTTCTTGGATTATCATTAAATTTAACTTCTGCAGATATTTAATAATAAATTTGATGATATAATTAAGTTGTAAATTTGCATCAAGCATTTCTTTACAGTTATACAATAAATATTTGATTATGTTTTTTAAAATGTAAAAACTAATAAAGTAAAGAATTCATAAATTTCTTATTCAACAGTTATTGAGTTTATTTGAATTATGTTTGTGTATTCAAACATAAGTACATCCCAATTCTAAAAACACGTAACAGTATACCAAAAATAATATAAACACAATAGCCACAAAAAACTGTGGATTATTGTTGTCACAAAAAAAAAATGTATACAATAAAATCAATCAACTATATTTAAATATTGTAATCAAATACCTAAGAGATAAAAACTAAAACAAAAATAAAACAAAAAGTCGAGGAAGATCATCATGAGAATTGATATTATTTAACAGGCTACATGTTCCACTTGTCTTGCTTATATGTTAAATAAACATTTTACCAAGTAAAATTGGATACATTATTTTATATTCACAAAACTTAAAACATTAAAAACATTAAATAACTAAATTATTACATAACATTTTCAAATAATTTTTTACATACCCAGTTACAAAATATAAATATGAGTATAAATAAATATTCAAAGTAATTAATAAATTGGATAAAAATGTTGTGTAACTGCTCAGTTCCTTAGTGGTCTGTGATAGAGCAAAATTTCTTTGTAGACCCTTAGGTGGTTCATGTAACTCATGTTATCACAATTTTCTAGTTGTTCGACCCCCTCGAACTCTAGAGATCAGTCTTTTTTTCATGTTGAGCGCATCATAATTTTCACACAAATTTTAAAACCAAATGTTCAACTTTAACCTATAAATATAAAGTACATTATTAGAATAGCAAACATTTTTAAAAATAAATTCAAAATAAACATACTCGTGACTAATTATTTGGTTATATGGCTTTTTGGCTAGCTTGTAAACTTTTTAAAGCACTGTCACAATCGGTGGTATCAATATCATTTAAATTCAATCCTAAACGTTCAATTTCTGCATATGTCCCAAAAGGTATTTTCCCTAAACACTCCAATTTAAGTATATGCATTTTGGATCGTAAATGTTTAGCTAAATGTCCATGAATTCGAAATCCAACTTGACAATCAGCACACTCAAATGGCCTTGGATTTTTAACAATTGATCCTTGAGTGGACATCATATTCACCTAAAAAAAAAAAGAAAATTAAATTTTCGTGAAATTAAATACAAATTCGACTATTTGTATATAAAATTATATTTTACTTTATTCAAGTGCGAGCTAGAATCCAAATGTTTTTGAAGCAAATGTTTGGTTCGGAATGATTCTTTACAGCTTTCACAACGGAATGGTTGTTCAAAATAATGTATATTGATGTGCAATTGTAATTGACTAGGTTTATTAAATACCTTATCACATACCATACATTTACTTCGCCCATCTTCAAGAATACTAAAATCAAAATTTTTATATATACAATATTATTAAAGAATTGAACAAAATGTAAAAAAATACCTAGTATATTTTTGAGATGGACCATTCGTAGTAGGTTGTCGAAATAATGCTTTTGGTTTTTTCGAAGACTGTGATCCAGCCACTTGAGATTTATTTATTTGTTCTAGTTCTTTAGTGCCACCAAAACGTGAAAGATCCATTGGTTTATTGACAATAGATTTTGGGCTACTGTTTAAAATTGCACTTACATTGTGCCTCAAATCTGTAGGTGTAGTTTGAACAACCACTGGATTATTAAAAACTGTAGTAGATGAAACAGGTGATACTTCAAGACGATTAGAAGTTTGCATAGGTGAACTCATTTGTGTTCGGTTTTGATAATTAATTTGAAACTCAAACTCAGCTATTGATAAAGGAGATTGATATGGATATGATACTGGTCGGTGATCATAAGGTAATATTCCAGCTTTTGCATGATTTGACTGAGGTATTTGTGATGGGCAAACTTGTGAAAGTCTTAATAATGAACGTGCTGCATCAAAATCTGATTGAGTTTTACGCCATCCAAGTTTATCTACAGCTTCCTCATCATCATCCTCATCATCAATATCATCATCATCATCCATATTGTCTTCAGAGTAATCTTCCATATCTTCAGAATCAAATTGCTTAATATCATCTATAGGCATTGGATTTAGATCCAGTTCAACTCCTTTCTTAAAATGTGCTTTAGATTTCATATGTTTTGTCAAATTTCCTTTAGTTTTAAAACTATAAAATTTTAATTTTAATTAAAAAAAAATAAATAAAAAATGATTACATTAATATTAACATTTTTAAAAAAATATTACCTGAAGGTACATTGTGTACAAGTATATGGCCTTAAGTCAGTATGAGTTCTGATATGTTTCTTGAGCATTGAAGGCTTCTTACAACGTATACCACAATCAGCACATACATATCGCCCTCTTCCTCTACCTCTTACATAAACATAATCTTCATTGGATTCAAAACCTCCGGGACAGATCTTTAATTTTCCTACAGAGCTGAATTCCACTTTATTTCTTTGATCAGATACCTTTTGGTGTTTATAAGATGAATGAGCAACTATATAGTCATGAGACTGAGTAGCTTGTGTATATTTATGATTACGTTGGCTTGAGTCATATAAGTCCATGCCTCGAACTCCCAATATATTACTTCCCATATCAGAACATATCTAAAATAGTTTAAATTATTATTCACTAACCCTTTATATATATTTATAAATTAGAGTGATAATTATGGTATTTATAAATGATTTTTTATTTAAAAAAATTTTACAAATAAAATGACTGATATGATTATAAAAATATTTATTTACCTTCCAATTTGAGTACATGGAAATGGTATTAACTTCTGGAAGAATAGTGTATGTAGGTTGACATTTGGTCAGTGTACAATAAAAAACTCTAGTCGAGCATTTTAATCCAAGATATGTATAAGCATGACCATTTAAATACAACTGTTGATAGCTTTTTTTAGGTCTTGGAGTATCGGGACTCACCACAGGTAACATGCGGTTAGTACTGAATGTTCCTGGTTTGAATGCTAATGATGTTGGTCGTACAAATTTCTGAGAGACTGTAGTGGTGGTTATTGTAGTTGTTAAAATCTAAAAAGTCAAATTGAAAAGTTAATCCTGGAAATAAAATTTATTTTTAATGTATTTTAATTGGTAAATATAAATAACATAAATCCGTATTCTACAAAAAATACAAATTTTGGATTTTTGGATTTTGAAATCGAAGTTATGTATTTTTGTCCTTAATATAATTTAGATTGTCGAATCTATATGGTATAACAGTTTTGATACTTTGTTAATTGTATTATTTTATTTCAAATTAAATTTTAATTATAAATGCTTTTTGAATCGTATAAACTTACTTTTTATATAGATTATATTTTAAATTAGTTAATTAATTACATTTTTAATAAATATATAGTTACCTATTATGACTTTATTATAAATAATTCATAAAGAAAATAATTTCAAATTAAAAGTTTTAAAATCTATACCCTGGATTAGAGTAAAATTCGGATTTAGGAACATGGAATCCAGATTTCAGATTCCGAAAATTAGAATTTTTCCCATCACTAATTTGAATAGAATAATTAATATCTGAAAATTTAATAATGTAATATAATTTAATTTAATTTATGGTAAGTATAAATGGTAGGACATACGAGAACTACATGTATGATTTTTATTACTATCATTGGTCCAATAGGTATTTTAGGTGATGACTGCGTCACGAAATATAGAACTCAAAGTATACTTACACTGCATCATTTACTAGTTATTAAGACTATACTAATACAATAAAACTCAATGTCAACAACTAACAATATAATATTAACAGATTGTTTACATATAAATAACAGTCAATGATCAATCTTGACCAATCAAAAATAAACTATAATTATAACATTGTTTTATTAAAGATAGAAATTATCAATTATTAAATATATACACCATTAAGTTAATATTTGAACCTCCATTATCTTATTTACATAAAATCTATCAATAGATCTGTAGAAAAGTACCAAACCAATTAAAGTTAAAGTTAAATTTAACAATTTTTTTTCCTGTATTTAAATGTTTATTACTTTGTTAATTAAATTTTTAGTATTTTAAAAATTCTTGTTATAAAATTGTTTTCTTTTTAATACTCTTATAATATCATCTCAGCTCATCTGTTTTTCAAGCATATGCAAAATAAATATATATTATTATAAGTAATTATTTTATTAATATGGAACTTATTATTTATAATTATTTTAATGGTGAACGTCCTTCAAAATTTAATAAATCAGAAATTTACATATGTATGGAATTATATTTTTATTAATGTTTACAGTCCAGGCATTACAAGAGTTAAATAAGTATTACATTCTAAAATATACCAACAATGTGATAACTTCAATTAAATAAGAATTAAAAAAATAATAACAAATAATAGAGTTCAATAAATTATTTAGATATCACATATATGTGACCCTGAGGATTTACCCGTCATTTAAATATGTTGGATGAGTTCCCAATTTAAAAATAATTTACAGATTAGTACTTTGGAAGTATAATAAGTATAAATGTATAGAATAAATTCAAATATATGCATTTATTAAACTAATAGATGAAACTACATATTAGTAGGCGATAAGTATACTTTCATATTTATCTTTAAAAAAAAATTGAGAATGTAATATATCAAATAAACACTTTAATATAAATAAATTTAGCACTATATCATAATTACCTGATGGTGGGATGTCGAAACTACGAATTCTTCTTCCATTTTGTGTTTTTTCAAAGGAGGAGGTTCAGACTTTTTCGGTTCATACTGTGGCCGAAATTGATGAGGGATTACTGTATTTGGACCCGGTATACCTGGTACATAAGGTACGTCTCTACCACATTGAAAAATAGCAAGCATATCCTGCTGTTGTCCTAAGTTACCCATACGTACCAAAATTGGTTTTGGAACTTCAGGTTCTTTCGATCTATGAAACTCAACTAAAGGTGTACGCCCCAACAATGGACCAGGTGACGGAAGTGGTATAGCTACCGTTTTAGTTTCTGGATACTTAGTTTCATTAGGACTACGGTCACAAATATGTCTGACCAGATCTTCTTTGTTATTGAATTTTAAGCCACACATTTCACAAAAAGGTTGCTCTTTGTTTCCATTACACTTATTTATTTGGTTTAATAGCAACTTGTAAACACCTTTTAGTTCATTTTGACCATTTTCGACCGGAGCAATTTCATTCTGGTATTTTTTAATTGATGCCACAGTCAAATTCAAAGGCTGAGAAAAATCTTCTTCTTGTTTGTATGCTAACAAAGGCACAGTCTCTATAACGGTTTTAAGATCCTTTGATCTATCTTCTTCCAATTCAGTATATATTGAAGTAGTGCGAAATTTTGGTTTGTATATTTTTGGCTTAGTCTCTTCTGGTTCTTCCTTAGCCAACCGTTCAGTATGTGATTGCGATTTACAGTGTTTTGACAGATTGCTTTTTGTTTTAAAAGCAAATCCACAAGTTTCACATGGAAATGGACGTTCATCTGAGTGTACTTGTAAATGTTTAGCAAGAGCACTAGGCTTTGTGCATACAGTTTTACAGTATGGACACTTATGTCTCCAAACACCTTCAACAGAATATTCATCATTGGTTAACACAGGTGCGGGAACTGCAGCAACTTCGGGACAATCATCTGCTGTTGCGACTTTTTTAAATTTCTTATGCAAGTAGTTTCCAGTCGACAAAGGAGCCGACAGCGATGATTTGTCCGAATGACACATGACGTCTAATAAAAACAAAAAATACATTTGAAATAATAACTATTAAATACCATAGTTCGAATAAAATACTTTATCGTATCATTTAACAACTTTCAAATATAATTTGATACAGGTGGTAAAAAGTTTTAGCGTTAAAACGCAATTATGTGTATGACACTATCAGGCTTACATATAAATCAATGAAATCGCACTGGATAGTAATTTAAAAAATATATATGATTAAAATTACGAATTTATATTAGACTAAATAAGCTATATATTATACTACAGATGAAAACTTTTTCCGTGATCTTAAATGTAGTTTCAATTAACATTCTGAAGTATGGAGATGATGGTGATATTATATATTACACCTAACTATTCTTAGACCTAAATGTAAATATAATTGCATACACCGTATAGTTTTATTATTTATATTATAAATACATCTAAACAAATTAATTTACTCAAACATTAATGATTTAATAAAAATATAGGATTTAAACATATTGATTAGTAAAATTATTTACTTGGCTCAGTTAAGTGACGTGTATAATATATTTATTATTTATATTAAATTATAGAAAAAACATTTTCCTTCGAATTAAATAATACAAATATACGTCAATTACATAAAAATAATAGGGTTCGAAAACAATGTATAATAAATTATAATATAGAAAATAATTAAAAATAGTACATTTTTAAACATTAATTATAAATTATATTTTGATATTACAAACCAATTGTGTGTTATTGATAGTATAAATTACTTGAATTTTTTTATACTTTACAAATTATTATCTACTTTTAAGATGGTTTAAACATATTATTAATATACAAGTAGAATGGTTGATTAGGTTATTAAATATTATTCATGAACCATATAATTAAAAATCGCGTTAAAAATATATTTTATAATAGTCTATTAGATAAGAAAAATATATTATAATAATATATGCATACTAATTTCCAATAGATTAATGATAATATTATCCTAAATCTAATTTACTTTAGGCAGTTGCTGCAATTTAATCACTTATATTAATAAAAATAAATAAAAATTATGAAATGTTATGCTTTTCTCAAAAATGCTTATTATAGTAGAATATTATTTAGGTAGGTACGTCATACCAAAATGATAAGAGGAGACATTAATCATTTATTTGACGTACATGTTAGTTTTGCTAACATCTCAAATTTTAACTTGTATAATTATTTTTCGATTATTTAGAACAAAATTTTATTTTTGATTTTCACTGCTGAATTGATTTTTAACAGTAAAATAAAAACTGGTTGGTAAGGAGAGACATTTTTTCTCGTGATCTTCCTATTGTTTAATTTTAAAAAAAAACAATTAATAGTATATTAAATATTCGACACCAAAAATTATTATTAAATTTAAAAGAATGCTATCGAACAGCTTAAAATGAAATATTTACTTTATACTAGTAATTTCAGAAACAATAATAGATGTATACTAAATTAGCAATAAATTATAACTACCTCAAAAATTATAATAATGTTAAAATAAAAATGGTACGTAAATATGTATTACAATCAGCGAGAATTACATCATAAAACTTATTTTGTTTTTAAAACAAGTTAGTAAATACTATTATAATTCTAGATTTATAGTTCGAAACTCTATACCTACTATAGGGACATCACACACGGAATGTGATTTGGCTATATTATGTTACCTACATGAATGATAAATTTAGATAAATATTTGATGTGGTACATAATATCATTGATAATAAATACTATAATTAATTAGTTTAAAATCGATGGAACTACCTAAGTGTCACCGCATAACATAAAACAAATTAGGATATATAAAAATGGGCGACTGTAAACTCCGCCAGTTTTTTTCGTTTTGCCTGCGAATCCTTTCATGGTCGTCTAAGAAATTCATTAAATAAAAGTCAACCGAATATTCATTTTTTTAGTTCTTACAGAATTTTAAACCCATATAATAAAAATAACCCCATAATATAAATTAAATGGCATATCTCAAGTAAATAAGCTACAAAATTTGAAAAAAGAAAAATTACAGTATTACAGGATGCTATAAATAGTTACACTAATTGAGTAATACAAGACTTAGAATATTTACTAATTATATTACATTATTTTAGTTTACATATATAAGATATAACTATATATTTTTAGATTATTAGGTATAACGATTATTTATTATGATTTAAATATTTAATATGAACGATATGATATGATATAATAATATAATTTTTTTTTTAATAATCTATCATATTAATTTTATACTATCACTTGATTTATTCACTGGCGAAATTTACATGAACTCAATTTTACCTGATATTTTTCAGTAGCAGAGTTTACATAAACCTAATTTTAGCTGTTTTTTCCTGGCGGAATTTACAGTAAAAAAAGGTACTTATGGTGGGTGGCGGAGTTTACATACACCCATAAATATAATTGCGCAATAATGATAACATAATAACAAATTGTTTAAATCAAATAACATAGTATATATAGGGATCCGTATTGTAATTTATTGTATTCATAGATTAAATAAATAAATAAATAAATATATATATATATAATCTATTTTACATCATGCAGTATACTTCAAGTTAAAAATATTAATTAAAACCAAAATATTACCAAAATTGACAAAAAATACTTAAAATTTGAATTTTATTGACGAACTGAAAATAATGTTTAATAAAAATGTTAATAATGTTTAATTTTTAATAGACTACACTGTAGTCACTACAGTAATCCATAGTGACGGTGCTAGAGTTTGCGAGGCCCTGAGCAAAATAAATGTTGAGTCTTATAATTTCTATTAATAAAATATTTTAAGTTCAGTTAAATCAGAACCGCGGGGCCTTAATTATAATTTAAGGCGCGGGGCCCTGGGAAACTGCCCCTATTGCCCTCCCCTCGCGCTGTCCCTGGTAACTCAAGTACGTTATACAATTCCTAACAACTACGGTCTACAATTAATATTTTCTTTCCCAAATCTCCATCAATATATGTACTTCTTCGGTAAGTTCTTCTGATATATCGGATAAAATCAAGTTCAGATAAATGATTATAATGTGGTTGAGTTTATGGTATAGATAAAATGTGGTAACATGTCCGCATTCACTTTAATTTTTATTTTATAATATCCATGTAAGGACAATAAGTGGTGATGAGGTCATAAGTTAGTTTCAATAGTAATATTACATCTGCAGAATATGTACTCTGGAAACGGCAGAAATAACGGATTCTAAAGATAAATAACGAAAATAACCGATAGTATTGCAAATTTGACGTCTAAGTTAAGAAAAAAAATTAAGAAAAACTGTGATTACCAAAAAAATCTAATCTTATTTTGATCGTATATAATTTTCAAACTGGCATTAAAAAAAAAAAATGAGTGTTTATAATTTAATTACAAACACTTGTTAAAATTATAAAATACTATTAACAATACACCATCTTCTCGTAAAAAGCGAACCTACCACAATAATATTATGTATTAGCAGAGGCGGATCTGAAGCTTGTTTAAGATGGAGCGAATAACATTCATGGGTGATATATATAGTAAAATGAAAACTTGATCGTAATTTCACCAATTTAAAATCCCAACGATAGAGGCTATTACCACGTCACCATTTTTTCCCTATATATCCAAAATCCACCTTTGTCTCTAGTGTACATATTTTATTTATTCCACCGATAATGTCACTATTAATCACTCGAAAATTAATCTACACATAATTTTTTTTCAATCAACTAAAATGCACGCTAACGTAGAATACGTTAATAATTAAAACATAAAAAATAGTGTGTAATAAGATGCACTACACGACAATTATTGAATCAGTGTTAGTATCAATTGAACGCCAATAACGGTTTCGAACTTAACGTAGGTATACTACATATAACTACAGTGGTCAAACATCATATGCTTTTAGGGGACGAGGGGCATAATACATTGTCAACGAACCATAAAACACACGTGATGTGACCACAGTAGGTAGATCTCCTAATGGCATTTAGGTTTTGTATGCCATTAGTTTCACAACTTTCAAGTAAATTTAAATAAATAGATGGACGTCAACAAGGTCTTCAAATGCATATGTTTTGTTAAAAGGTTTCAGGGCAAAAATGAAGGGCGGCTTTCGTTTTTCACCTATTACATACATATTATAACGATGGCTTAAGATGTTCAGGGAGGGTTAAGCTCTTCCAAGCCTCATCCCTATTAATGTTTATGGAAATAATGTATATATACATGAGTATACAAATGATTGCGGATAACCGATATGGAATTATTTTAGGTGAAATCGATAGGTATGTACTCACTTTTGTTCTCGTTGTGGCTGGGACTCATCTCGATCGTACCGTCCACTGAAACGTAACAAGCAAACGGCATTTATAAATACAAATCATAACAATATTCGGACGGCGCGGAAATAATATATAGCGCACGAGGGAGCTAAGCGAGGTCAATGGAATCGTATGCGAACATATATTACGTACACATACAGTATTTATATATACATAGTTATCAACGCTGCGTGATGCGTATACGTGTATACCGAGTTCGTGTACGTGGGCAGAGCGCGCGCATAACTTAGACGAGCCAAAAGCTAATATTAGCGTCGCCACCGAGAGAAGAGAATAAAGAACGCTATTCAAATATCCCGCCGCCGCAAATCACCGGCAACCGCTACACACCACCTACAGACCGTGGTGGGACGCCGCGGTGGTCGAACACGAGATTTTCGGGCGAATCTGCGCCGGAAACAATAACAACAACAACAATAACGAGCGTAAACGACGAACGTATGCAGGCGTTCGACACACAGGGCATGCGCGCGCAGTGAAATTAATGCAGAAATGTATTATCAGTAATCAATATGCGTCCAATTGTTTTTTTTTTATAAATAGGTATTTAAACGCGCGGCACGAGAGGACATGAGATCGCGATTGTTATTTTATCGTTGATTTTGTGTTGTTTCCGACCGGTCATTATTAGGGGGATAAACTGATCGAACGTGCTAGCACGGGACACCGGCGTGACAGGTTTTATTCTTAATTCCTTTTCATATATTTCTGCGTTTTCCGAACGGCGTGCGTGCAGGAAGAACTCAAGAAGAACCGGTTTTACCATCTGTCCTCCGCCATCGTATCGCGGCATCAACACGCGCCGCGCTCGTCACTTCGGCACAAGTAATAATAATGGAGGCAAACAATGTGACGATGCTAAACCCAGAGCTAACCACATACGAACGGTCTTTTGTGAAGGTCGGCAGCGAAATAGATACACATGTAATCGGATGGGCCGGAATTTTGGCCGTCAACACAGTTTTTTTTTTTTCGAACCTTTACCGTCGGGCGCATATCACGCCAGCAGCCACGCACCCGCATAGATCACATAGTCTCGATCTATTCGAATTTTGACCAAACAGCACTATTATTTTCCATAAAGCTATCATATTCTGAATTTCAGAACGATTATTATAAACGCATTCCGTTCCCATTCATAAACATTAATTATGTATGATGTACGTATGTACATTCACATAATTGTTATATAATCACTAAGTAGTAACACCACGACTCAGACGTCCGACAATTGTATTTGTGAAGTTCAAAAACATTGATATAATCAATGATATAAAATGTGCCCTAAAAACTTATTAAATATCCATTTCGATACATGCACCAAAAATTACCAATATATGTTATAAAAATAAATATAAATATAATTTATTATTTTGTTTTACTATCGATGATTCAAAAAAATATTTTGCTAAGATCTTTAAAAATGTTCAGTAATGAGAAAAACTACGAATCTTGTAATTCTGAAACATTATTAAGTACGCCAATTAAAGATTTACTGTTTACTTATATGAAAAATTCAACCAAATACTTAGTTATCACGAAATATAATACAATACACAATTATAAGTATTAAATGTTAAAGGGGAAGGGGTATATTGTCACTGAATATTTCGAAAAAAATCTATGCAAATAGATAAAATACACAAGTACTCTTATTGTTAACAGTGTTAATTAGTGCAATTAAATTAATTATATAAATAAACATACCGTGTATAAAATTAGAACAATTACAATTTTTAAATACAGATTATTCTATTACTAATTTATAATAATGAAAACAGAAACAATACTATTCTAAAATAAATGTTAAATAATTTATATTAATATAATTTTAAAATGTATTTATAAACTCATCAGTTACATCACACATGACAAACAATAAATATAGATTAACAAATGTATTCATTGATAATGTTTAATGAATACCTGATCTATGAATAATAACCGATTTTATGTAAAAATTAAAAACCTACTACAAACAAATAACTACAATTAACTACCAAAAATCATAAAATGGTCACTATTTTCATACATTTATTCGATAAATATTTTTTTTTCTTTTTAAGCTAGAGAATTGTACAATCAGTAAAATTACGATTTACAATAAGCACAAGTGATAAGGGAGTTAGTATAGAAAAGACAAATAGTGGGTAAATTAACAGACAAATATTTAAAAATATAAAATCTCAAAAAAATGTTAGTGAATTTTATACAAAGTATCGTATACGGTAGCGATATACCATATATTTATATAAATATACACATATAATATATTACATATTTAAAATAATTTCCGTTATTTTCACTATGGAGAACAGAGAAACTATGTGTATGTATATCGCTGATAAGAACACTAAATTTTGCTTTCAAACATGTTTTTACATTTAGTATATAAATCGCTAATCATATAATCAATATAGCCACAATATCCAATAGTTAATAATTTTTAATCCTAGTTACACCACATTTATAGTCGAGTACTATTTTTAACACGCTGGGATGACGTGATTTATCGGCAAATGACAGTGAACATTAACATTTATAATTAATAAAATAATACAAAGCGTATATTGAGAAATATTTTTATTGCGATTTAAATGTAAAATTGTCTCATGATCGTGATATATTATAAGTTTTCTTAATCACAATTATTATAAGAAACCGATTCCACATACCTGCACACTCTCCATGTCACATGTGTGTGCATGCTAAAAAATGTTGTCCCTAGGTAATAATTATTAGTTCCACCATAGTCCTTAAACTTAAATTATGGAAAAAACGACTTTCACTATATAGCTACTATAATCACCACATTAAGCTAAGATTTTAGTACTTACAGTCTATGTATTAAATTTATCAAACAGCTGAATAGTAATTGAAGTGAAAATTCAGCTCGTTAGTAGTTGGCGCGAAAAATAACCATAAGTAAAACACCAATCCAGACCACCTTCCACAAACATTCACTCATTGAAACGACATCGGTTACTTTCTATGGTATATAAAAGAACGATACGGTTTTTTTTTAGTAGTATTTTTAAAATGTTAACAGCAGATAGCTTCACAATATAACAGGTGACCTTCGGCATCACGTTCGACACATAAATACGCACGCAATACGCACATTGTGCACATGCTCATACACACACACACACGCATACTTACCCACGTAAGTGCAAGCAGAAATATTATGTCACGCTAATTTGATAATTGCAAAATAAAAATTAATTTTTAAAACAAACATTATACAAAATATGATGCGTAATTGTAAAAATATGTCTGTGAGATACCGGCCAGGCAAGCCAACGTATATGTAGTGCGCCTAATTAACTATTTATTATCTAATATAGATAAAATAATGGTGTGGTAATGGTGTCTGCACGTAGTATATCAATACATGATCGTTTATTTAAATAATCATAAGCATGTTATGATGACGGAAGATTACATTTCAAAGTTTTTACAAAATCTGAGCCTATTAGTACGCTTATGCACGTTGCGCATACCACATATCACGTATAGTATAAGTACACAATAAATAATAATACATTAGACAGAACAACGTAATAAGTGAAATGTATCAGTCGAATTAAAATAACCAGAAACTGCCGAAATCATTAATTTTTAAATTACATGTGATATAATTTTAATTCCATAAAGAAAATATTGGAATTCAAATACTAATGTAATCTGCCTGTTTAATATCTACAAAAGTAATTAGTGATAATGTGATATCAATAACAAAAATCAATTAAACAAAATAATTATTTATCGTATTTAAATTAACTAAACCATTTTTATTAAAATATAAGAGTGAGAATTCAAGAATATAAAAATATTATTACAATTTGTAAACAATAAATATTTAATACAAACATTAATAATTATGAGTCAGCACCAGATTTAGGGCCAAGAAATCTTATCCAGGGACACGCGATTGAAACCCTCGTATATTTAAAATTTAAATGTAATCAATCATATTAAACAGTAATGTCGAGCCATCCCTATAGTTGTATTCTATAAACAACAAAAACATTTATTATACGTAATAAAAACTTTCTTAACACGATTCTTATTTATAATTACCAATGCTTAGCTACTAATGAGAAAATAAATAATGGATGATAGGGTTTAATTTGTGATCACTGTAAGGATAATTTTTGTATTTTTTCGTGTATTAAAGTCTCGATAGATATATTTCGCAAACTCAAACCCAACCGGTTCCACGATTGGTATATATTATATATTTATAAATAAGCATATGGATCCAGGAGCGGGTTTTATTACTAACTAAGGGAGGGGCTAATGGAGGTTTAAGAATTAAGTTGGTTTTTTAAATCTATATAAAATTTTAAATTACAGAATATGTTTTTTAGTCCCTCATAATTAAGTCATTTTTTTCATAATAATGAAAAAGTTTAAATAGTTACATTATTGGTATCAATTTTAATCTGAAACCATTTTAAAATATAGGTAAATACACATAATTATCAAAATAAGTGAGCTATTTATTTATAAAATAATATACAAAATAGGTACCATATTCAACAATGACCATTGAGGATATTTTATTATAATTATTAATATATAATAATACTTTGCTTTGTAAAATAGATAGCTTAGTCCCAAGGGGGGGGGGGCTAATGCCCCCTTAGGCACCAACTTAAACCCGCTCGTGTATGGATCACACTTCTTTTTTAAATGCAATCAGCTATTGGACAGCATCTTCTTCCAATAATAATATTTATGATTTATTAATTTGTTATAATATATATATTGTTACTACTTGGATTAAACCCGTACGAAAAAATAAATATATATTCATTATAATTCATCTATATAAGTAATTTAATATAAAAGTACCTACTTTCTTACAATTATATTTATATTCACTTCAGTAACACAACATAGAACAAAATGAAAATACGAGAACATCGGGTTAACAGTTTTATGTAATAAAATAGGCATGGTAGAAATAAAAGAAAATATTAGATTCGAACTTCCACACCAAAAGGTTTAAAACTATCTCAAAAAACATTAAAACTTCGTAGGATGACCGTATTATATTGCTTAGAAACACAATGATATTTCATTTTTACTTAAAGCTATACCAAATAAATGGATATATTTTGAAGTACACGCAACAATGCAAAGAAAGAAATATAATATTATCACTGCTTCTCTAATCCTCCTCCTTATATACTACCCTTCGCAATTGTTACGTTTAAGAAAACAACATTTTATCATTAGAATCTTCGCTGCTGTATATTGTGCTAGTATTCTCCCGATGTTGCTGCAGAGCGTATCAAACACAATATCGGTAGTTAACGACGGCGGCGGAGGTGGATTAGAACCGCTGGTCATCAGTGTTATAAGAAGGCCACCAGTTACAACGTGCTGCATGGTGCACAGGATGATGATACACGATATGGCAAAAACTCGTATACCAGTAAGTTAACATCATATCGTCATTATTTAGTGTTGAAAAGGAAAAATAAAAAAGCGGTAACTAGCGTGCGCCAATCACCGTTTCCTCGAAAACGCAGGCACAGCAGCCTATATACATGTACGTGTGTACGCCGATGATATCGTTGACCCGATGGTAGCGACGGTGGCTGCAGCAACCGCGGTGGAGCAGGTGACAATCGCCATCGCAGTCGCCACAACCGCGCCGTGCTGACGGGCTCCGGGGCCACGACGAATCTCGTTTTACCTGCTGCTGACGGCGTGCCGCCCGACTGGCGCCGTCCAGTCCACGGATAACAAAAACCGGTTGCCCGTACACTACCTCTCGCCACACACACGGCCAACCCACCCCCCGCCAAGTATACGGTTTAAACCCGATGTGTGCGTGCGTGCGTGCGCACCAACAACATGGTCGCCGCACCTTTTTAGAAAACACCCTCCCGCGCGTCCAATTATTATAAAATTATATTAGGTTTACACTTGTACGATATTTTATACCTATACTCTAGAATCAAGGACAAAATGTTTTTCTTTTTTTTGACTAACATACTCAATACATAATATGGGGAATATGAATCGTACGGATCATGAGAATGATATATGTATGCGTGAGTGTTGGTTACACAGTGCCTATCAAAGGCCGTTTGGTACCTACTTATATTTATATTTATACAGTCATACGGATATCTACATGTAATAATATATGTAACGAAGAAAAAATGATAACCTCCGTTTGTTCATAGCATCACAACAGATCCAAAATATGACGATTATTTTAAAACTGTTTAAAATACAATGATGGACTTTATACAACAGCCTATGAATTTAAGATTGCAATTCAAACACGTGTATAATTTATTCAACTCGACGCATAATCATTTTTATAAAGTTATAGTACACAGTAAGAATTAAGTGTAAATTATATAATATTATTCTTAACACGTTCTTTAGGTGGCAAAAGTTAACTTCCGATTTGTACAATTTCTATAACGCATACGTATTATTACATTGACAATTATCATGCACATCATATTTGAATATTTGAAGTGTTTAAAACGCATGTCTATTGTAAACTCACCTGTGATTGTTATTATTAATTCAACGTACAACAATAATAACCTCGATTAAGGCAAGCGAACAATACGTATAATTTCATTTAAATATACATGAAAACGCCCGAGTAATTAAAAAATTTGTTAAACAATATTCTAGTTAAATTATGGCGAGAAATGACAATAAAAAATAATTTAATGGATATAATGAAGTTGAACTACTTATCAATAAGCAATATGATGCACTCAAACGTAATTCTAAATTTTATTTAACTATCAATAAAGTCGTTAACTGATTATTAGTGATCATGGGCTATAATGAACCCAACAGCTAACATTTCAATTAGTATAGGAGTAATAAATTGAAGAGCTGCTGTTTTGATAGCAGTTATGTTAGTGTTGTACAATATTACTCTAGTTTGTTTTTATTATTATTTTATTTACAAGCGTTTAACTGAAGTACAGTACATTTTAATCGAGTTATTATATTAATTGTTGTAAATTATGTTAAATTGTATTATTACACATGACTGCTGAGTACAATAATATTTGAATGTCTTACGTGGATTTCCAAGCGTTTGCAAACTTCCCAGAAACGTCGATGTAAATATGTATGATGTAATAAGGGCAAATTTTTAAGTGACTGGCAGAGACCGAAAACCGTCTGGAAGAACAACACAGACTAATACACCTCTACGGGCTATAATATTATAATTACAAATATTATTACTCATCGAAACAAAACCACTTGTTAGAATGTCCTCATCCCCACTCTTAACGATTCCCGATATATTAATATTATTATTATTATTATTACTAGAAGCGCTACTGCTATAATACTACTATTATAATACGAACAGAGTAGGATTACTGCACGTTACTACCGTTTACATAGCGGCGTACGTACCTACGCACCGAAAGCGTACTTGGATACACGCACCAAACATAGGTACCCTCTGCACGCGGGTATCGGCGCCGTCTCGTTCACACGTCAGGCATCATATTTATGCGTAAACGCGGTGAGAACAGGTGCCCGGGAGAACCCGGTTGTAAACATTAGTGCTCTCTCACGTATATAAACACACACACTGGCCAGTACAACGGATGTATGGCGATGAGGATTCGGGGGGTGGGAGAGCGGCGGACAATAAAGTTCTGGGTGGAGGGGAAAGGAGAGGGAAAGCCGCGATATGCCAATAACGCAATAAAGAGAACCTTGGTGCCGACGTGGCCGAGACGCGGGGGACGACTAAATATATTTATATATACAAACGTAAGAGTATCAGTATATATATATATATATATATATAATTGTGCGTAAGTACGTGTATACACAAACGCGCGGGCACAGCGGCAACGTGGGAATAATGTGTATGTGTATGTGCGCCAGAGCGCGCGCGCGAGTGTGTGTGTGTGTGTGTGTTGTGAGTAAGATTCCGCTGGGGACTCCTCGTGACCCGTTTGACCGGGGAACGGTATTGAAGGGCGAAGAGGTAGCGCCGGAGTGGGGGACAACACAGCACTATAGCAGTGGCGATGGCGGCAACGGCAGCGGTCGGACCGGGTCAGGGGGAATCCGCACATTTCTCCGCGTACAGTGCATACTCTACGGTAACCATGCAATACCACCACGTCTCGAAAACCGAATTAAAAAACATTACGTATCATTTGATATTGTTATAAATATTTTAGTTTGTTGTTGTTGATGATGTAGTGGTTAACAATTCGGCCTAACGATAGACCGCAGATGGCAGTGAAAAGCACCGCGGTTCACCAATAGTTGATATAAAAAAAAAAGCAGGGTTAAAGGTCAAAACGTATTTCACAAGTCCGAAGTAACATTAATGTTTGAAAAACTACGTCCGAAGTAACAAATTTTTTTCCAACGGTAATAATATAATAGAAATTAGCGAGTACACAGTTTTGAAAATATATATGTAATAATGTACTGACGAATGAAACGATAAATAATTATGCAAATCCCTTCAACCTGTATTACCCATATCCAAAAAAATTTTGAAAAACCTGATTTTTTTAGGGTCAGAAAGAGGCCTTATTCTATCGACTTCGTACTATGACGATACATCTATTTAACGTCTGGAGACATGTAGGCATAGTTTGCAAGTACGATAATTGACGTATTTAAATTAAAGCTTAAAAAACTTACATTTAACAGGGGCTTCCCCTGGATATCTTTTTCGCGGCATAGTTTTACATTCCAAAGACATCCGAGTCCCGGATTCTCTGAAAAATCACCGGTAGTGCTTGATCACCGTCATTTATATCCATGATGATTTTGGTGTCATAAATCACGGATTAAAAAAAATGTAAATAATATTTTCCAACTAATGCGACAAAACGAACGGAAAACATTGACAGTAGTGGAAGGGAAATGATAAATGTTTCCAAAAATCAGAAGGACAAATGCGAACCAATATAAATAAATAAATAACAAATAAACAGAAATTGATCCCCAAGTTGCGGTAATAACGTAAAAGGCGTGCTCACACGCTGAACAAGTGTTTACTACTAGTGGTAATAACGACGATGACGACGAACGTGCGGGGAAAGGCATACAGCCGGTCGAATGGGCAAGTAGTGGGGCCGCGTTCCGATCGTCTGGTCCGCGGCCGGTGGTGCGGCGGGGGTTTGCGCACAACGGTGGCGCCCGTTTCCGCCCGCCGTCAGCCGTGTGCGCGGTATCCGATAAACACGTGTTGGTCCGGATCGCCTGACCGGACGGGACGGGGAGCGGTGTTGTTGGGAAACACTCCGGGATATCCCCTGCACAACCGGCAACTCACAGTCACCCGTCTCATATTAAACGCGACCGTAGCGGTGCCAGGCGTGAAAGCCAAACAACTCCACGATCGGTTTGACGAACGCGCGCGCCGAAAGCCATTTCGGTGCACTCGTAGCAAAACGTCTTTACATGAATCATTGAACAATTGTAAATCGTTGCGCAATGACATGAATTACAGTGAAGTTAATATGTATGTACATTCACCATGCTGCTGATGGTTAGCCGCAAAAATAAAGCGTACACTTAAATATAGTCGGTGAACAGTATTTGTCTTAATTAATTCAGGAACTAAATTTCTTGACTAACTGAAGTTTAATATTAAAAAATATTATAAGGCGCTTACATAAAGGGGGAGGAGTATAAACCTCTCCTGAAATTCAGGAAAATTATTTAAAATGTCTATACATAATAAAAATAGCTTACAGATTATATAATTTTGAAAATGTACAACCTAAAACCCCTCCTAAATATATTTTTGTTTACGCGTCTGTATATTATATTTTCTTGATTAAATGAATATTTAATTCACAAATATCAAACGTGGCTATTAACTATAAATAGATTGATATTTCATCTTCTCCTTCGCTTTTCTCCCAGTTATTTGAGGCCGACCAACCGAATTTAAATTTAGATTGATATTTGATTTTGATAATAAATCAACTTGTATGAATTCTTCGTAGTATTAACATAATACAGAGTATAATTTTATAACCTTTTTTTATTCATGTTAAAACAAAAATTCATATTTTTATGATCAAATAAAAAATAGAAATACTCTGGACAGTTCGACTATTGCTAGGAAATAATTTGAGCACATAACGCATTTGAGGTATTGTCGGGAGACTTGAAAAAGTGATGGGATTGTACAGAAAATAAATAAATACGTTTATTAACACACACATATTATTATGTTTTGAATACTATTCGTATGCTCTACACCAAAAGACAAGAATCGGCATTGTGATGTAAATTTTTACCGATTAACTAATTTTTCACACGTTAAATTGTACAGTGCAATATATAGGTAAATAATATTACGGTTTCTAAAATACACGAATACATTGTAAGTACTGTACATAGGAATAAAAAGTCCGACTACCAAGCGTTTCTAAAGCGTTTACATAATTCGAACGCAGTTTTATTTCTACGTAGTTAAACGTCTGAATAACAACAATAATTTGAGCAAAAAAAAAAAATAGTAATAATAATGATAACAGTATAAATTATATTACACCATACGTTAATGTACCGTATACAATGTTGTATAATGTGGGAGGAACTGGGCATCGAGAGAAGAACTAACAAGATGAACAATCATTATCGGAACCCGAGTCGACGTCCCTATGCATACAATAAAAACATTATTCACCGGCGAAACTTGTTCCGTGACACATCATCTGCAACAGCACATTGCGTCTACATACATTTATATACATATAAATATATACACCATGGTTTAATATACATATTATCATATTCCTCCCCTACCACAACCGCCGCCGACGCAAACGACGACCCACGTTACCCTTCACGTCACTGCCAGTGTCGCCCACCGCCGCTTGAACGATAGCAGCCGCCAGCCATTCACCATTTTACGTCGTCGCCACTACCGTCCCCACACCCAGGGCTATACGATCCCGCTGTATACCTCACGGTCTCGGACCGTCGCTCGCGCGATAACAACGGCGACGACGGCGTCATAGCAACGATCGGGCTCCGCGCAACTCAACCAAGGCTCTACGTGGCTCCACCACAGTTATGCTGCACAACAACAACAACCGTACATCTGGGAGGGACTGTGGTACGTGCGTGTATCCACACAAAAGATGTATAATACGCCGTGAGCGGTTACTTCACATTCTTCTGGTCGCATACCGCAGGCACGATGTATGCAACACTGGACGGTCACGCGCGCGTTTCATACCGCAGCTGTTGCCGTAGCCCCGTATATTTGTATAGATACACTAGTTTTCGCAATGATTGCAAGTCACCTCGTCCATTGATTAAATATACATATTTAATATATTTAATTTAGTATTTAATTTATTATTTAGTATATTTAATCAATGCCTCGTCCTCGTAATGCGTGCACGAATCACCGCACTGTGATGGCATTGCCGAATTTCGCGGGTAACCAATGCACATCCAAAATAGTAAAATCATGTAACCACCATAGATAATTAGTTTATTATTTATGGTAACCACAGAATTCTGTATTTTATTATGACAGGATGTTTATAGTCAATGCTTGAATTGGAAAAATTAAAGAAGGGGACTATATTTAATTTAAAAAAAAAGCGTTCTCAAAACTTGTTAAGCGTTATAATTATAACGTAATTATAGTAGGGAGACGCTAAAATTTCTGAAAATTAATTGGAGTACTCCGTCTCCCTCCAAGTCGAGCAATGTTTATAGTATCATAGAATATGTCGTTATTCTATGGTAAACTTATAGTGTTAGATAATATATTGTTTATTAATTTGGACCAAGTAATTGATAAAGTCGATTCGGAATCTGTAGAAAGAGGACGTTGCCTCATCTTGAAATAAATTTAAAAAAAAAGGTTGGTTGGTTTTTTATTAATATTATAATAATAAAGGGTTTATTGCTAAAATAATTCAAAATGTTTTTATTATTTAAAGAAATACCTGTATGGGAAAATATATAGTTTATTGAGAAAACTTTTACTTAGGAAATTAGAAAATTAGTGTGTTGGAAATAATAAGTTGAGATTATGTCTCTACACCAAGGCCGTATCTAGGAGGTTAGGACTCCCCACGAAATTTCTTTAATATTTTACGAATGTTTAAAATACTTATTTATTTTTAATACTGACATAAATATTTTCAGTCAAAAATAAATGACTTAAGCTCCAATTAATCATTGATTCCTTTTAATTGTATATCATAATATCATATGAAAGTATACTAATTTTAATAAAAGAAGATCAAATTTTTTTCTGTCTTATTTTCAACCAAATATCAAAAGTTAAAATCTTAATTCAATAAAATTACAATATACATGTTAGTACAAGACAATTACCAAACACATTTCGCTTATTAGATTTATGTAATAAATATAATGATGATGAATTTTCGCAAGTAGATTTGAACTTGGAAGATGAATATGAAGACACAGAAAATATCAATCAAGATGTATCAAGTAAACCAAAAAATATGGGTACGGTACTTGAATTATTTCAGCTGTTTTGTTCCGCTAATTTAAATGCAGTATTTCCTATATTATTTATGCTATTCAAAATATGCGTGACTTTGCCGATTAGTAGCTGTAGCGTTAAAAGAAGTTTTTCAAACACTTCGTATCTTTAGTTCATCTCTTTCTAAATCCCTTGTATACTAATACTAGATTAAAGAAATAAAATGATCTCTATCAAAACAAAATGTTATTTGATTAAATATTTATTCAGATTTATTTACTAATAGTATACTCATAAATTATAATCTGTATCAATATATTGTTTACGTATTGTATGTTGCTGTACGCCACGGCAGCTTTGTGTATTAGTACTAGCGATCCGTCTCAAAAGTCTCTTTCCGTTTCAATAAGATATAGATTATAAGTGTCATAGAAACATTATTGTCTATATAATTTATATGCACATAGGCTAAATTATCAGTTATCTGAAACTTTTATCAATTAATAATTATAATATTATGGTATTATTCAAACAGTCATATCTGTAAGTAGAATACAATTCTTAATAATTTAATGTTACATTCAATGACAATTATGTATAAGGACGTAATTCGTGATTACAACCAAAATACTAATATCTATTTACTACGACTATAAATTTAATAATGTGTGGTTTAGGACAGTGTCACATTTAATATATTCGCACCCACGGGTGCCCGCAAGAGGGGGGCCAAAGGGGCCATTGTCCCTACTGGGAATTTTTGTTTCAAAACCATTGTTAATTTAATATCACGCATATTAATTATAACATAATTTTATTGAGATCCATTGATGAAGTTTAGTATTATATATTATATTATTAGATATTCTAAAATGTATAATCTTGAACGTATTTATTTGTTTACAATGTTAACACGTGACTGCATATCGCTTAAGACTATAAATTCTCCCGAGTACCGATTTCTATGGTATTTGATTTTTGTTCTCATATATTTTTAGATACACGTTGTGACCCTTAGAATTTTAATCTTGCCCCGGGTGGGATTTTATCCTGCGGACGCGCTTGTACACGCCCCGGGGAAAATAGTTTTTCCACCCTTCCACCTTACTATAAAAAAAAAATATAAATAAATACAAAGATTAGCAATAAAAAAATTAATTTTTTGAAACAAATCATAAGTTGCTTTGCGATATTGTATTCAGTGGCGTAGCCAAAGGAGGGGGGCTAAGGGGGCTATAGCCCTCTCCCATGGGCCATGTTTATATGTATAGTGTATCTATGTACTAAATTAGTCAACTAATATTTTTATTTAAGTATTTTAAACCTTTGGTATTAAATAAATTTTGACGATTAACGAATAACAGGTGTTTGCTTTGGAGTAGATATTACATATTACTAATACTTCTAGTTTCTACCATGATTATCCAAGGCCGCCCGCAGACATTTTTCTCGGAGGGGGGGGCCAGCGAAAAAATAATACACTTACCAAAAATTCTGTTTTTTATCACATCTTAAAAAAAAATTATTTATTTATTATAATATAATAAGTATATATATATACTGCCATCGATTTACTGAAGAT